TTCTGCGTCTGGTCTAAGCGTGTCTCGCAAGTATACGCAAAAGTGGTCGTAGTTTCATCCACCACTGTTCCATGGGCAAGCGATGCAGGAAATCGGCATCATCGGCCAATTCTTGGACCGGTGTCATGCAGACGTGTTTCCCGATTAGGCCCTGCAGTGTTGCTGTTCCCGGATGATAATGACCGCCGGAGCGTTTCATTTCCCGCATCTGACCCAACAAGTGGACAACTGCTTTGGCACCTAATTTTGCGCCAAAAAGCCGGTCGAACGGTGATGGATTGCCACCCTGCTGTGTGTGGCCCAGGACATTGGTTCGTGTGGAGAATGCACCCTTGCATTCTTCGGTGAAAAGCTGTCGGATGAATTCGGACGTGTAATTCTCGGATGCTTTTTCGCTGCGTACAACCAAATAACGCTGTGCACCTGTTTCCATCTTTTCCAGAATTACACGTACATTGCTGACCAATTCGTGGACATTGAAAATTTCCTCATAAATATACGCTGCATCGGCACCACTGGCCATCGCCGAGAGTGTTGCCAGATAGCCACAGTAGTTGCCCATTGTTTCAATGATAAAAACGCGTCGTTTATGTCCGGTGGCCGATTGCTTAATTTTATCAATTGTTTTGCAAATTTCATTTAGCGATGTATCGGTGCCCAGTGTGAACGCAGTGCCCGGTACATTGTTGTTGATTGTTGACGGAATCACACTCATCGGAATCCGGAATGCCGGGTATTGCTCACGATTTTGCGCAAATATCAAGCATGTATGAAAAGCATCAAAACCACCGATGATTATCAGACCATGGATATTGTACCGCTCCAAATTGGTGGCCATCAACGGTAGCGTGGTACTGTCCGGCAAAGTACGTTGCGCACCCAGAAATGAGCCGCCCTCAGCTGACCACAGCGACACATCGTTCCAGGTCATCTTCTGGAAGAGTCCTGAGGCAAAACCATCGTTCGAGTTAAAAATGCAATACGGAGTGCAGCCTTGCAGAATTGCAGTTCGCACACAGCTAGCCACTGCAGCATTGCAGCCACCGCTCGGTGATCCGACGTTGATGATTGCTATATTGAAGCCCTCGGATCGTATTTTCCCGGGTTTACGGATTTTGTTTAGTGTCCGGTACATCTCAACGTTTCGCCGGAAGCTGTGGCCGCGATATTCCAGAGCCGTTGCCCAGTCCTTTTGGTCCATCGCTCTTTTGACCGCTTTCGTACGCTCCACACATTTCATCAGCGGAATGCGGACCATCTGATTGCCGGCTATCGAAACAACACAGGGTTCCGTCTTGTCGTCCATCTCCATCAGTGCCACCGTTGCTTCGACGCCCATTCGACATCCCAGCAGGCGATCGAATGCCGATGGACTGCCGCCGCGCTGGATGTGGCCCAGGATGGTGACACGTGTGTCGTACTTCAAATTGTTCTTGATCACATCCTTGATCATCTCGGACGAAATCGCCGTCCCGTTCTGGTCGATCGCACCCTCCGCAACAATGACAATATTCACGCGATTCCCATCCTCGCGCATCTGTTTCAGCTTTTTGCACAGAATCTGTTGCCAGCGGGCTGGTGGTGGCCATTCCGGAATAAAGCAGAAATCCGCGTCCAGCGCTAACGATGCAGCCAGGGCCAGGTAGCCACAGTGGCGTCCCATCACCTGCAATTGGTCATTTCTAGAGTTTAATGGCTTGCAAAATCTTGAAGCTTACTTGCTTTGTTCCGGTAATTATGTCTAATGTTTTTTTAGATTGGACGATTTTTATAAAAAAGGATTTTTTTTGGCGGGTTATCCCTAAAATCTCTTTTTTCTTGCGAATTTTACTTATAAACTCTTACAGCTAAAAAAAGGACGAGGATAAGAAGAACCTAAAAAATATAGTAATATTTGCAATATGTTTTTTCTGAACATCTGCAAAAAATTCGTTCACTCGCAGAAAAATCACCCAAAAAAGTCTCTTCCAGTGAATATTCACCCGCCAAAATGCACTTATAAAAATTTTAAGAAATATAATTTATCTCAAAAAAAGCTGAGAAGTGAAAAACGGAGGAAATTACAAATTTTC